AAACGATGTGTTTTGCCAGTGGTATAAAATGTCATATGAAACAGGTCTTCAAAAATGTCACACTAAATACCGAAAAAACAGTGAGGAACGATGAGGTTTTGCCCTTGCAATTATTGTGTAAATCAACATTTTTTAATGTTAATGAACTGAATGTAATCAACACACATTAATTGACAAATACATATGAAAGTTAAAAGGGAAAGTGAAACTGGTCTTACTTTAAATGTTCATGATAATTGTGATGTCCCTAAAATACACATTGGCTCCCATATTAAAATAAAGACCCGCGTACAAGTGCATACATACATGTACACTACACATGTACATGTAAGAAAATCATACACTTCTTCCTGAGATAAGGAAATGGATGCCCACATATCATTACTTGCTGTGCCTGTCAGGGAGTGAAGGATTTTCAGTAGCCATGGCAGCTACATGTACATGTATGTAACTCTGATATGACTCTATGACTCAATCATCCAGTTAATATTGGGAGAAATCTACTTGAGAATGGTGAACAGTTGGGGAACTTGGCTCTTTGAAGAGCAGAAGACACATGTACATGTATGTAATCCCTAATCACTTCACAGGCTGATTTTTAGTTTGAGTTACTCCTTTTTTCAGCAGTTGTGTGTACAAGTACATAAGACTGAGTACAACATCTTGGCTTTCACTGTCAAATTGATGGTCCTTAATGAGAATCACCTTGAACCTATCGGTACTATAGTATCCCCACCTAAGCTGCAGAATCAAAGTAGCACGTACAGTACATGTACTGTATGTCAACTGACATGTACATGTACATCAATGCCTGTACAACCACAATGGTCAACTACATGTACATGTACTGTACTACCGGTATGTCATACAGCAGCGTAGTAGAATCAATGTGTTACATGTACATGTACATGTACATATTCAAGAACATGAAACTACATACGTACAAGTACATGTAATTTCTGATTCTTTGTAATGCTTATGAGCATAAATTATGAGTACATGTTCAATGCAGTGCAATACAACTGCACATGGAACAGATCCCAGTGAGACGACTGTTATGTAAAGAACATAAATTTCTTGATTAATCATTGACAAGGTTCTGGTACATGTATACCATTATCAATATTTCAATACATACTTGTGCCCACAATAAGGTTACAAAGGTAAGAGGTCTGCCCAAACAAAGATGAGTTTCTTCTTGAATACCCACAGCACCATTAGCAATACAACAAAACGAATAAGCACAATGGACATGATCCTTACTTTTTATGCACAGTCAGGAATCTGCAAGTTTTGTGCTTTGGATTAAACTCTTAAAACACAAAGAAAGTGTCATTGTTTAGGAGGAGGGGGGCAAATGAAAGATTCTCCTTCGGCGCAGTGGCTCCAAAACAGCTGATTCCTGGTGAACAAGGGGGCAGGGGGTACAGTAAAATGATCTTTAAGCTCCCAAGAGATCAGTCGGATTCCAAACAATGTACATTAAGCATACATGTACGATACATTTTGCATATGATGTACATGAACACTGGCATGTCTAATGGGCATGTTAACATGTTTGCGTTTTACCCATCGGACAGTACATTGAGCCCATGTGCTGCTTTTACTAAATACATGGATGCTGAATGCGATATACATGTACGGTACATGTATGTGTGAATGGGATACAAAGGACATTTACATGCACCGTATGTGTACTGTGAAAATGCATTAATTCTGTGCATACGGTAGTGTCCACAAACATTCCTGTTCAATGTTCAACTGTTTGTACATGAGTGTACTGTACTAACTAAATGTTTGAAAATATAGGTGTTTCATCAAGACCTTATAATTTTTGGCTATCACAAGTTCATTTTGATCATCTGATTTGTACATGCACTAGTAAGTGTGCCGGTATATGTACAGCTCATGTGGGAAAGAAGCACATTAGTGCAAAATTGTGTCGTTCTGAAACAAAAGGTGCTCATGACGAAAAGAGCAAAGACTTGATAGCTGACCAAAATACCCACAGTTGAAAGAACCTACAGTATTTTAGCAACAGGAGTTACATGTATGTCATTCTGGTACACAGAAATTTATGTGCGCATACATGTACATGTAAGTGTTCAGTAGTTACAGCTGCACATGTAAGGTCACAAATCCACAGGTACAGTACACGTACAGGTATAAAGAGTGCATAAATTATTGGTAAATAAGAAATATAGGAAATGAACGACATTTTATGCTGCAGCCTCAAAGGTGTAGAATCCAGTACCGTAAACTTACAAAATACTTCCTCTTTAAAGTACAATTGTACATGTATACATATGGTACATGTATGTAAAGCTCTGTAGAGATTTTTTCAAATTAAAAATACCTAAGCAGACACCAAAGTCAACACCTGCTCCAAATATCCAGCCTGATAACACAAAGAACCTTTCTCTTTTTTTATGGCAAAACTGATGGCCATGTAATCACAGCATGATGACTGTGTCTTCAATTCGATGAGATTTATCAGTAGTCAGTTTTGCGAATGTGGGTATACAAAGAGAGCTCAGTTCAAGGAGATAATCTCCAAACCCATTTGGAACTTAAACGTTAGCATTTACATGAACACAAGTCCTCAAACACTAGACAGGGGAAATATCGTACTTTGGAATGGTTATTTCCAAAACCAAGTTGTGCATGTATGTGCGTGACATGTATGGAAGGGACATACACTTGCCCTACCCTGATCAGTGTTTCAGACAATAATGAATCACTAGCCTTCCAGTTATTTTTCAACATGAAACCAGTTCTCCCACAATGAACAATACGGAGCAAACCCCTGCTGCACCCTCCAAAACCAGACAGCAACTGGGATCATTTGTGGCCTGAAGAGGGCAGAGCCCAAGTACAGGTTGAATTATGTACATGACTAAACATCTTTAGCATTAGACGTTTTCAAGGCGCCTGCTTCAACAAAGGACACAGGCAGCCAGGAGGCAATCAGGCTCAACAAGCATTGTGCTTATCCAGACAACATACAGAGCAGCCAAGGTCCAAAACATTTTGGACTGAGTGGGTGCCGCTGAATGCAAGAGCAGTATGGAGTCAACAACCCACTCTCGAGTTGTGATTGAAACTTTCTGAAATTGAGTGAAAGATTAAGAATGGGTTGTACTGGTAAATGAGTCAATAAAACATTATCTCCAACAACTGGAGTTGTCTTATTTTATTAGCCAATTAAAATCTGATGAGTTACAATGCAGAAACTGAATGTTGGATGGAGATAAAAAAAATTTGCAAATTTGTGGCAAAATCACTGTACGGTACAATACAAAGACTCGTTATAAGTACATGTACATACTGCACCTTGAACTGATTCAGATCAATTTGGAGCAGTGCTTTGCAGTGAGTTCATTCACCATGAGAGACTCGGTCAAAATATTAAGAAACAATGAAATAACGGTACGTATGCAAAGGTATTCAAACTGAGTGTTGTTCAGCTAGCCACTAAACACAGTAAGTTTCAACCTGTAAAAGCAAAAGCAATCTCACCTTCATGCTCTACACTTCAGTAAAGGCAAACAGAAACAGTTTCTGGGTTTCAGTATGGCGGAATACATGTAATTCAGCATAGAAAGATCTTATTTTTGTATCAGTACATGTAACCATATTTCACTATCAATCGCTCTACTTTGTCCGGAGGCACAAGTGACAAAATATAAATCACTTTGAAAGGACTAGTTGCGAGTCTTTTCTCGTTTGGATTTGAAGAGGAAATGGAAGGCTTTGTCAATGTACACAAGTAAGCACAAACAACACAACAACTTCTCAAATCAAGCCTCGACCTGCCAGGCAAGTTAACTATTTTTGCACTGGCCTGCAGGAAGTTTCACTAGCCCACTGGACATTGTTAAAGGGTTACAGAAATAGAAAACTGGGATCGCGAACCGCCAAAAGGAGGTTTTTTTGTGGGCGGGGAAATGCAGGATCTTTTATTCATTTGCAGTCACAATTAATGGGTAAACATTAAATTTATGATGTTTTTGAAATAGTTACATATTCATTGTTATTTTGAAATACTTCATGGATCTAAATATTTTCTATTTCTGTAACCCTTTAAGTAAAACCATAGAGGAAGGACATAAGAGTTTGAACTGCCCAGGCTATAACATCTGGCCAATTGCCGCTTTCTGGCATGCCCGGTATGTCCATAGTGCCAGAGTTGTAACTCCTTCTGTGTCCTTCCTCTACGGTAAGACTAACTTTGAATGTCTTTTTTGAACTAAATTTTTTCAACTGCTGCAGTGGAGCAATGCTAACAATTTTGAAACTTTAAAATTGGAGGATTCAAAACTGTTACAATTAATAATACACAGCACATACATGTATAATCAGCATATCAGCATTTTTAACTTTTGTTTTATTCAGCTGTACAAATGTACATGTGCAATGTAGGTGTTCTTTAAAAGCATGCCGGGCAAGGTAAAGAATGCATTTTACTAGTTTTTTAATAAACTATATGTCGGTCTAGTGCCAAGATCAAGGCCTGTCAAAAGTTTAAAGACATGCCTAAAGTACATACATGTATATTTTACTGCATGAATCAAAGAGTATGTTATGACACTTTTCACACAATTTCAAGTGCTTGTCTGCAATTTCTGCGACTTACAATAACCTGTTACAGCGTTATATATATTGCTTTACACATGTCTTCCCAAGTTCCCATCCAATGCAAAAAATATATACATGTACGTGTATATCAGAACACTAATTTCAAAATCACGAGCTGGAAAAATTTTACCTGTCCACCGACTTACAAAACTCTATACAGATAGCTACTGTAAAAGCAGCTGTTAATTTTTTTTCTTATTTTTGTAGCTGAGCTAAGCTAAGTTTAATCAACAGCGGACCAGTGCATAGCACAACTGCACAACAACTTTGCTGTGTGAATACCACAAATGGTACAAGTGGCACACTATTTCGACAAAGTGCTGGGCATTTGTCAAGGGGAAAGCAGAAAGAGGGAAACTCACCACCTCCCTGCATCATGCGGTAGAACTTGCTCTCTATATGGAGCTGGGGATGCTTGGACTTGACACATTCTAACTTGATGGCAACCTCTTCGGCAGTTCCAATATTAGTCCCTGTATATGCACATGTAGTAATCACATGAAATCCATGAGTCTGCAGAATATCGATAGATACCGTACATTTGACCTCCAGGAACACTCACATTGGCAAAAACCTGATGCTATTAAATGGAAACAAAACTGGATCAATGACAAATGAACTTTACAGTTACAATGCCATCTGATCAATCTGATCCCCATGGAATTAATATACATGTACATGAAAGCTGTCAACAGACATGACATTCCACAAACTTTGCAGGAATAAATGGTTGAACAAAAAGTTGGCAAACACATGTACTTGTGTACATTAGCCACTTTGCGTTATGTACATGTAGATACATAAAAACCACAAACAACAAACACCCCCCTAAAAAAATAAACCTTGAGGCTTACCAGATTCAATGGTTATTTGTTCATAAACCTCAGATGACTACATGTATGTGTACTGTAACTCAAACCTTTTCCTTTTTCTTCAAGGGCTCAACGTGTCACTAACCAAGGAATCAATCAGTAAGGTCAGTGGCACCAATGGCTACACACTTAAAGGTAGTGTACACCATTGGTAAAATCACCCAAATCGGACTACCATATAATACTGAAATATCTTACTAGAAAGTTCATAACAGCCTCAATCAATCTGCAAAATATTTCCGCCCTGGATGCTGTAGTTTTCGAGCAAATAGAAACTTTGTCCTCTTTTTTATGAAGGTCGGCTGACCATCGTGAAAGAGTTCATTTCTTTTCGAACATCACATTCTTCAACAGGTGTCAATTTTCTTCTGTGTAGTGTTTGCAGATGTTGTGAAAGTCTCCATTAATAAACAGGCAAACTCAAAAGCAGCTTAAAATATACGGACAGAAATTTACCAAAAGCATTGTGAACTGAAATCATAGGAAGCTGAATGTAAGGTGTAAAGTGGAAATAAATTGGATCAGTGTGAAGTTAGCTTTTATTTAAGGAAAGGATTTTCTTAACGTGAAGAATTCCAAATCACCCCTAGAGCATAACGGTATAATCCCAATATGGTGGCTGTTCCGAGCAGAATGGTGAAAGGGATTTTCGTCAACAAAAAGTATAATTTCCATACGTTCAACCTCCTGTGTTTCGGACAAAATTTCTTCTTTGCTTATAATTATTAGTAAATCAACTATAAGAATGGAATTTTTCGACTTTCATTGACGTGTAAACTGACGTGAACTGACGTGTGGTGCCCTTTGTTCATTTCCGTCTTTTACAGTTGTGTTATCTCTGTTGCTTGTTATTTCACTGGTAATTTGTTTACTGTTAAAAAGAAAGAACTGCTGCATGGCCCATCTAGCAAGGACACTAATCCAGCCCACCAAAATTGGTAATTTTGAGCATTTGAAAAAGTTTTGGTTTAATGACAACACTCGTTCACGCACTGCAGTGCAGTGGTGCGGACCCTACTGTTGGGATCCTTGAATTTTCACTTGTAACAATTATGTATGGAGCAACATTTCACCTCCCATCTCAAGAAAAGTGAAATTTAATCAAACTCCAAACATTCTGATTCAGAAATGTCGATTTCATATTCCCCTACAAAGTTCCAATGAAATTTCATTTTGGCCAGATTTTCTGATTTTTTTTTTCCGAAGTACAAAATGAACTTTTTAAAATCATGCGCCCAAAAAGATGTAAATTTTTTCTTTTTACATTTTTTAATTAGGTGAGAAGAGGTAATAATTCTTTACTAGAATTTATCAATTTTATAGAACATCTGGAAGTTTTTGTGGGATTTTCTCAGATATGTTAATAATAACGTTCATATCATTCACTCGTCACCCAGCACCAGATTCAGGGCGCTGGGTGACGAGCAAATTCATACCAGACCCATCTACAAAACGCCGTGCATATTGAAGTATACAAGTCTTACATGCATCCTTTGGTTCGCGACAAACATGCAACTTGTTAAAAAGCACAGTGATAGGCCTTTGTCTAAAACTACGTATTCACAGTGCCAAAAGTTCCACTTTTGGGTTTCACAACCCCTCCCCAGTGTCTGGTCAGGCAATGGGCCTCAATCCACAATGCTACCGGTACATTGTCGAAGAGGCGCATTACTCCAAGGTAAATTCTCACCCTTTGAACTGCTCCTTTTTAAGGGAATGAGAAAATGTCATGCCTGTTTCCTACCCTGACCCTGCAGATGTTGTTTGCTTATACTACCAATGCCCTGTAATCCATAGATTTTATGCAAGATAAATTATAAGACCTTCAATTTAAGCATTGAAAATGCCACTTTTTTTTTTATTTTTCAAAAAGGAGTTGACTCAAACATGAATCAAGTCAGTGGAATGTAAGTTGCAGTGAATATCACACACCGTAATCAGCCAATCTTGTGAAATTACGACAAAAAACCAGTGGTGTTCACTACCCAATAAGCTAGGCCTCCCAGAAAAATGATATCACTTAAATTATCTGTGTAATCTCTGAATCAATGACACACATTACTTACACCTCTTCATTCTGTTGCCATACTCGTACCCAACATTTATGCACAAAACGAGTTAACGAGTTCAACAACAACTTCAGCAATTTTTGTCATCTCTATACAAGTATGCTTAAAATGCAACACTGAACAGAAATTGAATTTTAATTGGTGAATTAATAACTGCATCATACATGTACATGAATACATAGTCACACATACCGGTACAAGTTATCTACCAGGTAGCATCAACAGACTTCAGTGACGTCATTCTTTGTTTACAAATGCACTTTCCAATAGAGACTCAGTGGATATTCTCCCAATTCCCTGCCATAGCTAAGCGCACATGGAAACAAAGCGTGACGTCATGTTGTTGTACATGTATATTTAGGTTTCTCTCTGCTGCATTTCACACAATCATGCATGGACATTTGTATGCTTCTTTGGATAAACAATGGATAAACTGTCAGTGCAATGCACTATTCCTCAAGTTCGCCCACTGTGCATGGCGGATATGTCTCTGTCACTGTTTGTATATTAAACAACATGGGATTTCCCATGATGTCTTGTTGGGGAAAACAAAAAACCTTTGCAAAATTAACTATTAAATCATCAACAGTCTTCAAAGTACAGTTTACACCCTTAAACGTCTTTTACTTGAATATTTCAGTCTGAAGAACAGCTGTTGCATTACTCAAAACATTTTACAAATGACTTCAGAGAATAAGTTGACTCCAGTCAAGCACTGTACATGTACATGTACCTGTATAGGCACCCCGAGTTTTGATTGTTGTGATACCAGGAAGTCATCCCTCACTTCGTGCTTCTCTGATGTCAATGACAGAGAAAGATCATGAGATGCAAGTGGGAAGTACAGTACATGCACTGCATACATGTACATGTAGTGTATGCGTACAGTGTACATGTACATGTACATTATGATGCACTTTCGTAAGTGTACAGGTACATGTACATGTACAGTACTAGGAAGGCCTATATGAACAGCACAGTGAATAAGGGTGCACATGCATGAACACAAGAACTCAACAAGAACTTTTTAGTTGGCACGTACATGTACATGTACATACATGTCTGCATGCATGCAAGTGTACACTACACTGGACGAACCTGTGTGCTAAACAAGTTGCAATGGATGTCATTATAAGTACTGCATTCTTGGAAACAATATTTGAGATGTGTGCACTATTCTCAACTACTAGTATAGTGTATGTACCGGTGTATTAAGTCTAAATATGAATGTCCATCATTCATTGAGCACTACCCATGTTTATTCACTACCAAACGAGCACAATGCCAGATACAAGAGTCACGGTTTGCATTTTTGAAGGGTACAATAATACATTCCTAGAGCACATGTACATGTACGTAATGCTGGTATGTACATGTACACACAACAACATTCAGGAGTTGAAATGGACTATTGGCCTTTGGTGCCATTATCAATAATTCACAAAGTGTTATTTTCATTTATGATCATGCTCATGCAAAATCATAGCCCTTTCCCATCCCCCAAAATATAAAATATTCATATTTAAATCATATTAATTCTACATTATGAAAATTGAGGTTGGTCCATTTCGTTTCTGAATTGAAACCAATTCATTATAATAATGAGGCAGCCTAACATGGGGGCAAGCACTGGCCTTGGCTTGCACAGAATTTCATTAGGTAGGGCCGGCCATGTGTGAGCTCAATGACCAGTAATGAAGGCCCTTCAGGAAATTGGCCAAACAGCTAATGCTGCACTTCTGGGGCCGAGGGAGTAAAGCCGCCTAATGCTACGTAATCTCATTTCTGAATGGTTGATTTTAGCTTGGAGTGTGAAAAAGGATAAATTGAATATGCATGTCTTCGTGGTTGTTTTCCCTTGAAACATAGAACAAGTGATTTCTTGAATTCAATACTGTGCTGAAGAAACAGTGCAATTCTAAACAAGTGCAAATTCACTTGTACATGTACTGTACATTGTATCTAAAGTAACAAGGAAAGGTGGTAACATTTTGTGCATGCAGGTCACCTCATTAAAAGCTTGGACTTTATAAGACGTGTGGAACAAAATGAGTAAAAGATGTGCCTTCGTATGAAAAAGCACACATGATCTTAATCTAATGAGTTCATTTTATCATGCTATTTTCTCCACTTTTTTAAACTGGGCATGCACATGCACAGTTACCTGTACATGTACTGGTGAACTTATATTTTGAGAAATGTGTCCTCTGGTATTACGTTATGCAGTTGCCCTACGGTATGTAGGGCCTACATGTACAGTACATGTACATGTTCATGTTTGTAAAAATGTACAGTACATACACATCTACTGGTACCACGGAATACTGCTCTTATATGTAGTTATGATTTATAACTTACCGGTACTTGGAATGTCCCTAGTTTGCCCAACTGGACATGTGTACAATGTATGGTGTACTACACACGTACACGTACATGTATTACTCAGTAGAGTGCTCAACAATTTAGGGCATGGTAACATGATTTGTGATGACTACAATTTTACCGAGTGAGAAGGATTTTAACTACCGGTAC